AGTGGTACATATCTGTACCAACCGTCCTCTAGGACATTCTTACAAATGTTTTATCTTTTTTAGAACCAAACAAAACGATTCATTAATTTTGCATTTGAATAATGCACAAATTTAGTAATAATAAACAGTCAAAGAATTAACAATAAATTGCTAAGGAATTCCTAAAATATAATGAAATGGTGCAAAACAGAATTTGCACAAAGGAACTTTGCACTCTTGGCAGATTATCTTTGTTCGAGTTTGCTTTTATGCAACGTTGTTCTGTGGTGCTTTTGAATAGAAATATGTATCTGACTCACGACACGACGTGCTAGGCCTGGTGCTACTGACCTGCGTAAGGCTGTAGTTTTAGAACTTTGTTCTATCAGAGTTTCGGCCAAGGTCACCAAAAATGATTTGAAAGGCATTTTATTCGTCCTTAGCTAACTGTAAATAACCCACGCGCTTACGGCTGCCATCACTATAAAGCGGTAAAAGACCTTGTTCCACTATTTTTTTGATTTTCGGTCATATTCGTGCAGGCCACTCATTTGATTTACTAAATCAACATCTTTCATAATTTGACGATAAAATAGTATTTAGTTTGGACATGGCACTTGCATTTTTTGCCTGTTTTCAAAGTTTTTTCATAATTATTATGCCTGGTTCGTGGCAATTTCTTATTATGAAACCCCTTTCATGTCTTGCCGCTTTACGTATTAAAGGCCTGCAGATGTGCTTTTGAATTCTATTTCTCCTCGTTGCATTTTCTTACTCGTAAACTTAGGTACGTTTTTTTTCTGTTACCCATTATATGTAGTACCAACAGCTGAATAAGGAATATAGTACAATAAATTAACTGATGTGAAAAAGCGATCAAAACACAAAGTAATATCATTTTCTACGATTTAGCTGACCAGTTTGCTTACTTCTCTTTCTCCAAGTGCTCCTGCGGTTTCTTCAAGGTCTTTTCCAGAATAAATGTTAAAACGATATGTGTACCCTGTTGCAGCATCACACCATCTTACCGGATTTAGAGGCATATCGTTGGCTTGATCTTGCATGAAATCGATAAAAAATTAAGTTATGTTCACCGGACTACTGGTACGCATATGTACCACCAAAGGAGACTGCTGGTGCATATATGTACCATATATTTGAATTTGTGAAAACAGAGGTTTATAATAAAATTTTATCACCGTATTTACAGGCAATAATTAGAAACAGCTTTTTTTCCCATAATATATTTAAATAAACTAAGAAATCTTCACAAACGCAAGGAAATCTGTACAAAAACGTTAACGGGAGGCCCTCTCCCCAGAAATAAAACGAAACTGGGCATAACAGGAGATGCAAAACTGAATGTGTAGAGTGCAGGCAGATGGTGAAATTCCTAACATACGGCGTGGTACATTTCCAAATGTGATTAAATGTAAATTAAAAGTTTTAGGGATGTTTAAACTTTGGTGGTACATATATGTACCATCCGGGTCGAAAGGGTTAAAGAGATAAACTAAGGGTCGATGGTCAGATTTCACCGTAAAGTGAGTGGCGTAAACATACGGTCGAAACAGCTTGATCGCAAAATATATAGATAAAAGTTCAAGTTCGATTATCGGTTTATTCTGTTCTGCTTTATTGAAAGATTTTGACGCGAAACATATCGGCAAATCATTTCCGTCATTGTTTTGGCTTAATATAAAACGCCACCCAACTTTCGAGGCATCGACAGTAATAATAAATTGTTTTGTGAAGTCTGGGTATTGTAGCAATTTTGGGAAAATTAACGCTGATTTTAACGATTCAAAAGCTTTATCGCATGCACTGTCCCAAGTAAACTCAACTTTTTTCCTGCCTAATTTATTTAAAGGCGTTGCCAGAGATGCAAAATTTGGTATAAACCGCCTGTAATAATTAGCAAACGCGACGAAACGTCGAACCGCATCTTTATCAGTCGGATTTGTATATTTTTTAACACCAACAGACCTTTGGCTGAACATTTATGGCCTAGGAATGTAACTTCCGGCCGAAGAAAATTGCATTTATTAGGGTTGAGTTTTAGGTTGAAGTTTGGACAAGTGTCAAAAACTTTCGCTAAATTTTTAATGTGATGTGCTTCACTACACCCAATAACGATTATATCGTCAACGTAAAGGAATGCCGCATTAGGTGGAATACAGCGTTGCCGCTTTGTCAATTTTTAACCAAAATTGGTAATTTTTTTCTTTATTTATCAAGTGTGGTAATTTGGTAATTAATTTTTCAATTTGGTAATTTTTTTGAGTCGGTCGTACATGTCAAATAGGTCAATATTGGTTTTGATTCTACATTAGTAAGTGGACCGTAAGCGTTTCCTTTTATAGAAATACCAGGTAATCGTGAAAGTTTCGCAAGACGAAAGTTGTTCCAGCGTTCCTTGGCTACTAGAATGGTGTGTTCTTTAACAAACTGCTTGAAAGTGGCTATTGCTAAGTATATCCACCGTATCCTTTCCTAGAAGGTTTTGGGTGGTCCTACCTTTCCTTGTCAGTTCGTCAGCTTTTCAATTACCATCAATTTTCCGGTGTACCCGGCAACCATATATATGAATAGAATTATACGTAAATACGTATGTTCTCGTTCAAAAAGCTCAGCGGGGGACTTCACCCTGTCTATATGTTAGTCGAAAGCTTTCCTTCAAGCGTTGAATTGTTGATATATTTTCCTGTCACTTGTTAACCGCCTTCCAAAAAAGCAGGTTATCAGTTCGTCAGAATATTTTTATTTTTTTATGTATGTTACCGCATAACTTTGGACCACGTCAACTCATTTCGATAATTATTCTTGCATCGGAAAGGTAGTGTCTCCGAGGTGGTGCCATACTAATCTGGTTTAGATCGGATCATTGGATCATGAGATATATATATATATATATATATATATATATTTTTTTTTAAGTTTGTTTTTTTTTGCTAAAAATTACTTGTTTAAATACAGTGGTCGAAAAAATTATTGCCGCACCATAGTTTTACAAGATTTAAAATGTAATTTTTTTTTGTGATTTAATTTTGGTTTTTTTTTTTAATATACTGTTCTTTCTTTAACAGAACTCAAGCTAATTCAAATTTCAAACTTTGTTCAATGTTTAAAAAAAACCAACAAACTTTCGTAAAAATTTGAGGTTAATGGAGCGCTGATTGCCTGAAAAGCTTGGTATCTTCGGATATATACATTTATGTATAGACATATCGAGCCCTAACTGCCAAAATAACATAAGCGACATTTTTTCAAAATTTTCTTTTTGATGCAGAAAGGCATCTAGATGCTCCAGGAATATTTCTGCATCAAAAAGAAGAATTTTAAAAAATGTTGTTACGTTATTTTGGCGGTTAGGGCTCTGCACATAAAATAAGTTTGGTGATTTTTTGATGAATTTGGCAAATTTTACCGGTGATTTTGGTAAAAAATAAAAAAAATTTGTGGCAACACTGGTGGAATACCGGAAAAAGCAATTGGCCCGTAGTCATAGTCAAAATAAAGTCGACTTTAAAGTTAGTTGCAGCTTTTT